GGGCGCGGTGGCTCAAGCCTGTAATCCCAGCACTGTGGGAGGCCGAGGCGGGTGGATCACCAGGTCAAGAGATCGAGACCATCCTGGTCAACATGGCGAAACCCCGTCTCTACTAAAACTACAAAACATTAGCTGGGCATGGTGGTGCGTGCCTGTAATCCCAGCTACTCAGGAGGCTGAGGCAGGAGAATTGCCTGAACCCAGGAGGCGGAGGTCACGGTGAGTCGAGATCACGCCGTTGCCCTCCAGCCTGGGTAACATGAGTGAAACTCCGTCTCAAAAAAAAGAAGACGACGACCAGATAGGATATCATAGAAGCAATCCAGACAAGCGATGATGGGGACTTGCCTAAGGCAGTGGCAATAGGAAGGGTGAAACTTTTAAGGTGGTGGAATTATCGGATCTGATGACTGATTAGATGTGAAGCATGGAGAAGAAGGGCCACAGTGTGCACAGTGATGCCTTTTCTTCATAGGCATTATAGGAGGGGCAGGTAGATAGGAGGAGACAACGGGTTTAGTTTTGGATTTACTGACTCTGGGATGAATGTCAGATCTCTAGGTGGAAGCGTCCCGCAGGCAACTGAATATTCCTACTCATCCAACCAGGGCCTTGCAGTTTTGTCTCATTCGCTACTCTTATTTCCTAGCTTAGCACAAAATCTAGTTCTTAACATTGAATAAATAAATGAATCTGGTGAGGTGCTCCTGTGAGTGATCTGGAAGGAGTTAAATTTGGTAGTTATGGGAGACGCTTATGTGAAGCCATATGGGTGCAGGCTGATTGTGGCGGCAAGACCGAACTCAGCTTTAGAATCCTTCCGGCCGCTAAACCTTCAGAGTAAGCGGCGTCCTTGGGGAATGGTGCCTCAAATGGCTCGCGACGTCCTATAACATCTACATTTATTTTGGAAAGTTTGTTTTCGTAAAACCCAGCATGCCTATTCACCAACATTTGTTAACTTTATGGCGGCATATTAATACCTGTCAGGTTGATTTTAATCGGGGTGGGACGGCGCTGACCTCACCATCCCACCCTTCGGTATGTGGCCGGCGTCTTCACGACCTCGCTTTTCACAACCCCCGACCCCGAGGGCTTATCGGCGGCTGTCGGAGTCCACAGGACGTAGCCCCAGAGCAGGGTGAGGTGCCACTGTTCCCCGCGGCCAGACAGGGGGCGGTGCTCACGTCCCCAGCCCCGCTGACGCGATATAGGCCGAGATCACCTCAGACGCTCGCGGCGCAATCACAGAGCGCGCCGCCGCCTGTCGAGCTCGCCCTGAGATCCCTCCGCCCAGCGCCTCCAGCACCGTGTCCTAGCGCCCCACACCCTGGCAAACAGAACCGGGTTGCCTGCGATTCTCAGGGACTGATCGCCTCTTCAGCTACGTTCTCCTCTGGCCCTGTACCACTGTGCCACAGGCACAGCCCGCTTCCTCAGGTTCCCTTTCCCGCGCAAGAACACTGACCGAATCACAAGCTTCTTTAGGGGCGTGGCCAGCGGCAGACTCCGCCCTGTTCTGTGACGCACGGAGTGGCGCGCGTGGGACCCGAGAGCTGGGGCTGGGTTTAGTAGGAGACCTGGGGGCCGGGGCCGCCCGTAGACGCCCATCTGCCAGCTTCTCTTGCTCCGTCGATTAGGAGGAGCGGTGGCGACCTCGGCCTCCAGTGTCTCCGGCGAAGTGAAGTGACGTGGCGGCCAGGATGATGTTGCTGGGCTTGCTGCAGGCGAGCGGGTCAGTGCTGGGTCAGGCGATGGAGAAGGTGACAGGCGGCAACCTCCTGTCCATGCTGCTGATCGCCTGCGCCTTCACCCTCAGCCTGGTCTACCTGTTCCGTGTCGCCGCCGGCCACCTGGTCCAACTGCCAGTAGGGGCGGTACGTACATTCTTTCCGGCCCGAGTGGGGTGAGCGCCGCCGCTAAGGCGGCCGAAGGGCTGGCGTGGGAGGCTCCGTGGCCCCGACCTGCTCTGTGTCCTGGACCAGCTCTGTGTCCTAGCTGGCTGGGCTGGGGGGGACCGCAGCCATGCTTGGCGTGGCCTTGGTGGCAGGAGCGCTCGGGGCTAGAGTAGTGGCTGCGGCGGCCGCACTGCTGCTGGTGGCGCTGGCGGTAGCGCTTGCCGTTGCCTTGTTGGCCTCCCGGCTGTGTATCTGAACCTGGTCGGGGTCGTGGTTGCGGCGTTTGTGGTCGTACTGATGGCTCTACTGACCGCGGCAGTGGTGCCCCTAGTGGCAGTGGCCGGACTGGCGGCTGTGGCTTTGAACAACCTGGTGGTCGTTGGGGCCCTTGGTTGGGGTCCTGTTGGCGATGCTTTTTGGCAGCTGGGCCGTCATCCTGGAGGCTGCCCTGTGTAGTTCAAGGTTTTATGGGCTGTAACAGTGCCCCTAATGGCAGCTTATATCCACATTAAGGAGGATGTGTAGAGTGTGGTAGTGGGAGTGACTAGAGTGTGGTAAGGACCTGCCTCGGATGGTAATAAAATAACAGTTTCTTGGCCGGCTGCCGTGGCTCATGCCTGTAATCCCAGCACTTTGGGAGGCCGAGGCGGGCGGATCACCTGAGGTCAGGAGTTCCAGACCAGCCTGGCCAAAGTAGTGAAACCCCATCTCTACTAAAATACAAAAAACAAACAAACAAAACAACAACAACAAAAAAAAACATTAGCTGGGTGTGGTGGCGCACGCCTGTAGTCCCAGCTACTCGGGAAACTGAGGCAGGAGAATTGCTTGAACCTAGAAGGCGGAGGTTGCAGTGAGCCGAGATCACGTCACTGCACCCTATTCTGGACAACAAAGACTCCTTCTCAAAAAAAACAAAAAAAAGCAAACCAAAACAGTTTCTCTAATTTAACAGCTTTATTAACCTAACTTTCAACCTCCCGAATGTTATTTGATGGAAGTACCTTTTCCAATCAGCAATAAGTAGCTTTTTAAAACTACCCTTTTTTTTTTTTTTTTTTTTTTTGAGATAGAGTCTCTCACTCTGTCGCCAGGCACCAGGCTGGAGTGCAGTGGCGCAATCCCGGCTCACTGCAATCTCTGCCTCCTGGATTCAAACAATTCTCCTGCCTCAGCCTTCCGAGTAGCTGGGACTACAGGCGCGCGCCACCACGCCCAGCTAATTTTTATATTTTTTAGTAGAGACGGGGTTTCACCGTGTTGGCCAGGGTGGTCTCGATCTCTTGACCTCATGATCCGCCGGCCTCAGCCTCCCAAAGTACTGGGATTACAGACGTGAGCCACCGCGCTCGGCCCAAACTACTCTTTTACTGACAATGCAGTGTACTAACTTTTGACCAAGCAGCTTTTAAAATAATTTTTGTTTGAACCATACCTGGCATAAGGCAGAGTTATAATTAATTTTCCTATATATGGGATTTTTAGGAAGTGGTATTTGTCTCTGGAAAGACAAAGTTACCTTTAGTGTTTAAAGGTAGTTCTATTAGCTGATGAGTACTGTGAGGTTGTGGTGCTCCTTTCTATTTGAGACCACCAGAGATCTGAGGAATATTACCCTTTTTTGTTATTGTAAATTTGATTTCCAGGATACTTAATGTTGTAATTTGCAGGTCTCATTTTGTGGCATCTAAGGTATCTTTTATGATGAATGCTAGAGTTCTTTTTTTTTTTTTGAGACGGAGTTTCACTCTTGCTACCCAGGCTGGAGTGCAATGGCGCGATCTCGGCTCACCGCAACCTCCGCCTCCTGGGTTCAGGCAATTCTCCTGCCTCAGCTTCCCGAGTAGCTGGGATTACAGGCACGCGCCACCACGCCCAGCTAATTTTTTGTATTTTTAGTAGAGACGGGGTTTCACCATGTTGACCAGGATGGTCTCGATCTCTTGACCTCGTGATCCACCCGCCTCGGCCTCCCAAAGTGCTGGGATTACAGGCGTGAGCCACCGCGCCCAGCCTTAGAGTTCTTGCTAGAGCTGATCTACTATCTAAAATCAGTGGGTCTAGTTCACTTGCAGTGAGAGAAGCATGAAATGGATTGTTTACTGAGAAATTAATGTAGCTTTTAAACATTTCCCTTCTTTCTATACCTCAAGTTACTATTTGTCTTTTTCTATAACTTCTTTAAGCAAGACTGCGGGACTAAAACTGTGAGGATAAGTAGAAGTAAGTGGTGAAGAAACAATACAATGGGCTCTCTGGTGACCCAAATTCCACATTTGGGAATTCAATTAAGGGTAGATCTAAAATATTTGGAAAAAACCCCAATACAAAATAACAATAAAAAATAGTACAAATAAAAAACACAGTTTAACAACTATTTACATAGCCTTTACATTGTATTGGGTATTGTAAGTAATCTAGAAATGGTTTAAGGTATATGAGAGGATGTGCATAGGTTATACACAAATACCTTGCCATTTTATATAAGGGACTTGAGCATCGCTCGATTTGTATCTGTGAGGGGGTCCTGCAACCCCACAAATGCCAACGGACAAGTGTAGTTTGACCTTTTTGGTTTTTTGCTACTAACAGTTAGAAAAGTTGCCTGGAGTTAGTTTTCTAACTAACAGTTAGAAAAATATGCCAAATAATTGGACATATTCTGGACAGTATCCATCATTTAAAGTTACAGTGCCTTTGTGTCTATCTAGTCATTTATCTTTTACCGTGTTTTGAGTTTCTGTTCTTTTTACAAATAGCTACTGTCTTAAGGTATTTGCAATTTAGCTGTTCTCAAGTTACTTCCGATGTGTCTTTTTTTTTTTTTTGGTGACTTTTTTTTAAGTCTTAAATGCTATTTTGTTTAATTGTTTGGTCATGAAATAAAACTGGGTTTCTCTCTTGAAATGAAATGAGAACTAGATTTATTATTTTTTTCTCTTGTAGAAAAGTCCTCCGTACATTTTCTCCCCGATTCCATTCCTTGGGCATGCCATAGCATTTGGGAAAAGTCCAATTGAATTTCTAGAAAATGCATATGAGAAGGTAAGTCTTCCAAATAATTAGAGGAAAATAAACTAGTTTAGAGAAGTGCTTTTTAAACGTTTTTTTAAAAAGTGCCAGAACATTTAAAAACATTGTAATCTTTTTTTTTTTTTTTTTGGTTGGGGTTTTCACTCATGTTACCCAGGCTGGAGTGCAATGGCGTGATCTCAGCTCACCGCAACCTCCGCCCCCCGGGGTTCAGGCAATTCTCCTGCCTCAGCCTCCTGAGTAGCTGGGATTACAGGCACGCACCACCATGCCCAGCTAATGTTTTGTATTTTTAGTAGAGACGGGGTTTCACCATGTTGACCAGGATGGTCTCGATCTCTTGACCTGGTGATCCACCCGCCTCGGCCTCCCACAGTGCTGGGATCATAGGCTTGAGCCACCGCGCCGGACCCAACATTGTAATCTTATACATATCCTCAGTATAGGAAACAAAATGGAAACTGCTCTGGTTTAAGAGATGGTGTCTTACAGATACCTATCCTTTTAACTTCTCTCGTGTCCTGGGGTCATCTTCAAGACACCATTGAGGAAACCTATGGTTCTGGCAACTATGGTTCAAAAAACCACTGTTCTGAGATTTCTATTCACTGGTTGTCACTAAAATTGATATTAATTAATATTAATTAAAACCAACCCTGATTTTTCTTTACCGTGCATCTGTGAGTTCTAACCTGCTGTATACATCTTCTGTGATTTCACTGTCCATTTGAATGACCCACATGACACCATAGCCTCTCTAATGAGCTTTCCTGTGCCAGTTAAACCATTTACTTCACAGTCTCACTTTGGACTTGTCACTCTTAACTGTTTCACCTCCACAATATTAATTTAGATATCCTATTCTTAGATAATACCTTCTCCTGCTTTGCTTGTACAACTCCTTAAATTGTAACTATCTTTGACCTCATTAGATCTTGCATTCCATTGACTTCTCCTGATCCATCAGCCTTTTTTCTTCACTTTTCTTTTTCCGCTTTGGGTCCATGACACGTCATTTCCATTACACTCTTGCCAATACTGCACTTTAAATTTCCTGGACTCTGCATCTTTCCATTGTGTTCAACTGGCAAGTCACTTTTGGAGGCAAGCAGTTATTGTCTCCTTCCTTGCACCAGATTAGTTTCTTCCTGATTTTACGATTGCCTACCCTTAATGAAATTTGAACACTGCTCCACAGTTCTATTATGTTCTTGTGATTGGCCTACTTTTCCACTCACTAAAATGACTGATTCAGACCTTCATTTTCTAAACTTCTGAATCTTTCTACCTCTCCATCAAAGCAGATGATTTTGTCTCCTGTTTAGGAGACAATGATTAAAAACATTGATTTAGGAGACAAAGATTGAAAGCCATTCAAAGGGAACTTCCTCATTTTTGCAATTGCAAATATACAAACCTACTTACATATTTATATAGTAATCCTATTCTGTTTTCTTCCTATCACAGTAATAATTATAAAACCCTTACTTTATGCCAGTACTTAGTGCTTTACAAAGATCATCTCACTGAAGCGCAACAAAAACCCCTTCAGGTATATTTGTTTTATAGATAAGAAAACTGAGAAGCAGAGAGGTTATATAATTTCTTCTTGAACTCACTGCTAGACAGTGGCCAAGCCAGGATTTACACGTGGTCTGATTTCTGAGCCTATACTTTTATTAATGATAATAATAATGGAAAATAAGTCAATAAGGTGCTAAGTAAGCCAAGGTTCTCTTCTCTGCCCTATATATAGAATTTGACAGCAGCTCTGTGAAGAACTGCTACCATTATTATTACCATTTTATAGTTGAAGGAAACTAAGCACACAGAGGTTAAGTTCTTCAAAGTCCTACAGCAAATAGGTGGAGGGGCTGGGATTTGAACACAGGCAGTCTGGCTCCAGAATCTTATGTCCTGGCTCACTGTGTTCTACCACTTTGATTTAATTACAACTATATTTTGCCTCTTATTGGAGGCTGAACTCTCCATCCCTCTTTTGTCTCAGGAACTTTTTACTGTTATATCTTTTCTCAGTGTATTATTGACTTCTCTTTCAACTGCATCTTTCCTTTTTCTCTGAAAAATTCTTAAGTGTCACCCATTTAAAAACTTGGCTTATGAGGCTCTGTATGATCTAGTGTTGCCTCAGGCTCAACACTCATCTCCTTTTTCTTTCTCTTACCTTTAAGGCCTTTGTGTATGCTTGGCTACCAAACTACTCATTCTTCTGGTCTCAACTCAGTTGTCTTTTCCTCTCTTAGTTCTCCCTCTTTTAGATTCTTTCATTACAGAGTTGCTTTTTTCCTGTAATACTTGTCACATTTGCAGTTTTATGTTTGTTAATGCGATTATTTGATTAATTTATATTTTTCCCAATAGACTAAGCTTAGTGAGTCAGGGACAGTAGTTTTGTTCATGATTATACCCCCCCGAGTCTAGTCTTCAGTAATAACCAGAAAACTGCAAGGGAAAGCATTTATCACCTAACCAAATTAATAAAAAATAAAAAATGAAGTCATTTAGTATAGGTGAGATAGTGATAAAACAGATAAATAAACTTTTAGTGTCTTCACATAGCAGGTAGTATAGAAAAGGTAAGATTCAGCCAGGCGTGGTGGCTCACACCTGTAATCCCAGCACTTTAGGAGCCCAACGTGGGTGGATCATGAGGTCAAGAGATCGAGATCATCCTGGCCAACATGGTGAAACCCCATCTCTACCAAAAATACAAAAATTAGCTGGGCGTGGTGTTGCAGGCCTGTAGTCCCAGGTACTAGGGAGGCTGAGGCAAGAGAGTCGCTTGAATCCGGGAGGGAGAGTTTGCAGTGAGCCAAGATTGCACCACTGCACTCCAACCTGGCAACAGAGCGAGACTCTGTCGAAAAAAAAAAAAAAAAAAAAAAGGTCAGATTCTTTGGCTAGTCCTGTAAATTTTTTTTAACCAAATTGGGGGGGAGAAAAAAAGTCTGTGTTCTCAGAGGTGTTAATCACAGAATTAGCTATAATAACTAAAAAAACCCCTGACATATCACTCGTATGTCCAATAATGAAAGAGTAGTCAAGTAAATTAACATTATGATGTCTATGTAGACAATAGAAAATATTGTCAATATAAAATGAAAAAAGCATAATAGCACAGGCTATTATACTTTTATACTACATTTGCAACTGGATGAACATAATTATAAATTTGAACACAAACAGGAAGAAGCAGTATGGCAAGATGAAAAGAATTGCTTTAAACTTTATGTGTGTTTTTATTTTTCCAATAATGCATTCTTTGTGATTTTAAAAAGTTAGTGTGTTAGTGTTGCATATTTTTTGTAACATCACTGTTTCTCTTTTTAGTATGGACCTGTATTTAGTTTTACCATGGTAGGCAAGACATTTACTTACCTTCTGGGGAGTGATGCTGCTGCACTGCTTTTTAATAGTAAGAATGAAGACCTGAATGCAGAAGATGTCTACAGTCGCCTGACAACACCTGTGTTTGGGAAGGGAGTTGCATACGATGTGCCTAATCCAGTAGGTGACACTGTTACCATGAATAAAGACAAATCTGTATTTCAGTAGTTATAGCTAATAGTAAGACATTATACATTTAAAATGTAGAGACAGCCGGGCATGGTGGCTCATGTCTGTAATCCCAGCACTTTGGGAGTCCAAGTTGGGTGGATCACTTGAGGCCAAGAATTCAAGACCAGTCTGGCCAACATGGTGAAACCCCATCTCTATTAAAAGAACAAAAATTAGCTGGGGGTGGTGGTGCACACTTGTAATCCCAGTTACTTGGGAGGGTGAGGCATGAGAATTGCTTGAATCCGGGAGGTGGAGGTTGCAGTGAGCCAAGATCACACCATTGCATTTTAGCCTAGGCAACAGAGTGAGACTCTGTCTCAAAAACAAAGAAATAAACAAAACCACACACACACTCAAACATACACACACACACACACACACACACACACCCCCCAACCAAACAAAAATAATATAATAAAATGTAGCAACAGTTTATTCTTTGCATCAAAAGTGTGAAGAATCATAAGAAAGGCCATGGATAACTGATAAGTAAGGGGTATTTTGTTTTATAGTTGCTGGCATGAGGTAAATAATATTAAATGGTTTCCTGTACAAATAATGGAATCAATAACTTAGCTTATTGAGATTTAATTTGAAAGGATTATAAGACAATCCTGTTATTTCTTCAAAAGGACTTCCTACCCATTCCTGCCTGAAATTCTAACATAAGAGCTATTTAGACATTGCCAACTTTAAAAGTCCTCTTTTAATGCAACTACTTCAGGTGTGGGTCCATCTATGTGTATGTTTTACTCTCAAAAGCCAAATATGAAATTGTTTTAAGTTGATATAGAACACAAATCAGACAATTGGCCCCAATGCTTGGTGTAGGCTCTGGCTGTGAGTGTAACGCACATTAGTCAGTACCTTAGTATAGCAGTTAACATTAAATGTTGTTTCTGGTGATGGGGATGAGGGAATGAATGGCTCTCCTGAAGGCCAATAAAAAGGGCCCTGGAAAATCCCTCTGCTCAGATATATCTATTCATTTAGACTCTATTCATTTAGAGTCAGATATATCTATTCATTTAGACTCTTAAAATATAAATGCCCAAAGAGTTAAAACCATTAGTTGTGTTTGTGTTACATAGTTATAATAACCAAATGGATTTTATGATGAAACAAAAATGAGTTTTAATGCTGCATGCCCTTTTTGAATTTTTTTGAAGGTTTTCTTGGAGCAGAAGAAAATGTTAAAAAGTGGCCTTAACATAGCCCACTTTAAACAGCATGTTTCTATAATTGAAAAAGAAACAAAGGAATACTTTGAGAGTTGGGGAGAAAGTGGAGAAAAAAGTAAGCAAAATGTTTGTCCTAGCATTTCTACTTCTCTGAATAGAAAAGTAGAGTATATATGTGTGTAGTGAATAGAAAACAAATTACAGTATATGTAAAACTACCTTGGATTTATGGGAGGGATATATAATAATTCCCCTGAAGTTGTAATTGAGAATCCAGTCTTTATTCTGGACTGCAGTTAAGTATTACCTTTCAGAAGCAATTGCTGTGCCTATAGTAGGAAGTAACATCTGCCCACTGGGCAGCAAGACCCAGGGCCGTGGGTCACCACATTCTGGGTCTGGCCTTTGGCCTCTATAAAAGGTCCAGAATCTTTGTTTTGGGAATACTTACGTTGATATGATGTATTTTCTCACCATACAAGGAACTGATGTGTAAATTAGAACGCCAATGTAATAATGCACGTGGGACATACAATTACAGAACCAAGAAATCCAGAATATTTACTGTTCTTCTTTTTATTGGCAAATAGAATTAGAAAGCCAGATGATCATTGGTATTATATTTAGTGAGTGTGGAATTAACAGAAAATTAATTGGATAATTTTTATTATTTGAATGTCATCAAATTATGCTTGCCTGGTGCATTTGTCTTGTGTTAGGATATGCTAATTGATGATTATAGTTTTTTTAAAATATATGGACAGTAATTCCATTTTAGTACTGATCTTCCTGCTTTTAACCTGGGAAATAATCTGATCTTTGGCTACCATTCCTTGAGAAGTACCCTATTGTCATGTGCACTATAAATAACCTTTTTGCTGCTTTTGTTACATGTGACCTGGAAATCGAACAACCACATTTATTCTTTTCATGAAGTGCCCATGAATGAAGTTTTGAGATGTGTTTCTGGCATCTGTTTTGACTGTTCAGAGGGACAGGCTACTTCCCATAGTTTGGTTTATTGCCTCTCTTTCTTCAGTGTTGTGCATAGTCACATGTCTATCTATAGACTTTTTTTGGTGATATAAATCGGATCTTACTTGTTCTTGAGTTCTGTTTTTATTTTCAATTTTATTTTGCTTTTTGGAACTAGTAATGATAGTAATCTTTTTTTCTCCCTAGATGTGTTTGAAGCTCTTTCTGAGCTCATAATTTTAACAGCTAGCCATTGTTTGCATGGAAAGGAAATCAGAAGTCAACTCAGTGAAAAGGTGGCACAGCTATATGCAGATTTGGATGGAGGTTTCAGCCATGCAGCCTGGCTGTTACCAGGGTGGCTGCCTTTGCCTAGTTTCAGGTATGGATAAAGGAGATATTACCCTTGGTTATTTAACTTTGTATAATTATTGTAGTGCTGGTATGTTTTGTCTTAACAAAGATAAAAATTAAACAAGTAAAATGTACAAAATGGGTAAGACCCCCATTCTTCTATAAAAATTCAAGACAGGTTTTCTTTATATAGTGAGTTGATTTAAAGTAAGTTTCAGTTTATTAAAAAGGTGATTTGTTGTCTGTCTAGTCTAATATTTTATTTATTTTTTTGTTTTTGTTTTTGAGACAGGGTCTTGCTGTGTTGCCCAGGCTGGAGTGCAGTAGTGTGATCCCGGCGCACTGCAGTCTCTGCCTCCTGGGTTCAAGTGATCCTCCTACTTCAGCCTTTTGAGTAGCTGGGACTACAGGCATGTGCCACCATGCCCAAGTAATTTTTGTGTGTTTAGTAGAGACAGGGTTTTGTCATGTTGGCCAGGCTAGTTTCGAACTCCTGACCTCAGGTGATCCACATTCCTCAGCCTCCCAAAGTCCTGAGATTACAGGTGTGAGCCACTAAGCCCAGCCTAGTTTAAAAGCCTAATTACCTCACATATTCCTTATCCTCAGGAAAGTCTCTGGACTATACCTAAAAGTGATATAGCCCTCCTCTAAGCATTCGTTTTAAATCTTTGGTAGCTTTTTATTGTATTGTAAAGTTTCTTTGTTTTGAGTATTTGTGCCTTTATTTAATTTTCTGTTTTTTTTTTGTTTTTTTTTTTTTTGAGATGGAGTCTTGCTCTGTCACCCAGGCTGGAGTGCAGTGGTGCTATCTCACCTCACTGCAGCCTCCGTCTCCCAGATTCAAGCAATTCTCCTGCCACAGCCTCCTGAGTATCTGGGATTTGGGATTTACAGGCACACACCACCATGCCCAGCTAATTTTTGTATATTTAGTAGAGACGGGGTTTCACCATGTTGGTTAGGCTGGTTGCGAACTCCTGACCTTGTGATCCTTGGTTTCCCAAAGTGCTGGGATTACAAGTGTGAGTCCCAGCATAATTTTCTGTTCCTTAAAGGCAGGGATTACCTCTGATATAAAGAAATATTGCTCTTAGAACTTGACCTATAGCTTAGTGTTTTGCCTGTTAGTAGGCTTTCTATACTTTTGTTGATTCATTTGTGTTTAGGTGTTAAGGTGGATGGGGAGGAGTTAGATTGCTAGTCCCTTTTCCTTCTATTTCTGCCCTATTTAGTTATAGAAGAGCAGTGGGAGTAAAAGGGAGAGCCAGGAGAGATTCCCTAAAGTTCTCTGGAACTCGTCATACCTTATATTTTCAAGGAGCTTTGCAGTTTCAAAATGTTTCGTATGTATTTTATTAGAACATCCAGCATAGACCTGGGCCCATAGTGGGTTCTCCATAAATGTGCATTTCTACCTACCTGTTTCTACCTGCTCTGTCTCTTGGATAAAGTCAGAATTCTTGAGCTTGTTTTGTTAGACCCTTCACATTCTGGCCTAGTCTTTCTTTGTTTTACTTATACTAACTAATTTAACCAGATTACTCCATTCACTTTCTTAAACAGGCCTATGTTTTCCTGGCTCTGCTGTATTCATACTGTTAAGCTTTAACATCTTCCCTTTTGTACATATGGTCTTGGTCAATCCTCAATAACAGACTAACAGTCTTGTAAATGAAACAGGGTAGGAGTTTTTTCTTTTCTTTTCTTTTTTTTTTTTTTTGAGACAGAGTTTCGCTCTTGTTACCCAGGCTGGAGTGCAATGGCGCGATCTCGGCTCACCGCAACCTCCGCCTCCTGGGTTCAGGCAATTCTCCTGCCTCAGCCTCCTGAGTAGCTGGGATTACAGGCACGCACCACCATGCCCAGCTCATTTTTTGTAGTTTTAGTAGAGACGGGGTTTCACCATGTTGACGAGGATGGGCTCGATCTGTTGACCTTGTGATCCACCCGCCTCGGCCTCCCAAAGTGCTGGGATTACAGGCTTGAGCCACCGTGCCCGGCCCAGGGTAGGAGTTTTTATTAGAAGGCTTGATTTAAGAGGGGGCTTGGGAGTCAGATGGCTTAGTTTTAAATTCCAGCTCCAATGTTTGTTTTCTATGTGATCTTATGCTATAAATTGATGTTAATAGTATGTACCTCACAGGAAGATACAAGTGGGTAATTCATGTAAAACACTTAACATGGTTCCTGCTACATAGTGAACATAGTATTTAAAGGTAAAGTTTAGGAGTTGACCTAAACTTGTTTTCTGAATCTGCTCATATTTTTGCCACTTACAAAAAACTGTTGTATTAGAAAGTGAAAAGTATCAACCTCTTTAAGACTTGATTTGATATTAAAATTGGAATTTCATGTTAATTTAAAAGATTATTCTACTTTCTGTTGAACTGGAAAATTTCTAAAGGAATTTCTTGCTTGTTTTAGGCCTATAGTTTGAATACAGGTAATGTGTTAAGAATCTGGGACATATATGTTAACTAAAGATAGTTCTTGCCCTTAGGGACTATGAATATTTTTAACAATGTAAGAGTTTAATGACTTCCAATATTTTCCTGTTTCTGATTTTTTTGTCAATTATTTTAGTCATTAGAGTTAGTTAAGTTAGTTAAATAAGGTGCTTTATCCTAGGTCCTGGTTTTCAAAATGAATTTGATCCTAGAAAGTGTTTCTTTATTTAAAAAATCATCTTTATCTTTTAATTACAGACGCAGGGACAGAGCTCATCGGGAAATAAAGAATATTTTCTATAAGGTAATCCAGAAACGCAGGCAGTCTGAAGGAAAAATTGATGACATTCTCCAAACTTTACTAGATTCTACCTACAAGTAAGAGCTATTCAGATAACATATTAAGCTGAAGCAGGAAATGATAAATTAAAACACAAATAATATTTCCAGTTAAAAAACAGTGATGCTGGCAAAATAAGTGCTATAATCTTTGGACTTTTTAAATTGTTGAAACATAAACTATTGACATCCTTTGTCTTGCTGTAATCCCAGTGACTGGGTATGGTGAACGTTTGCTAATGAACTGTAATGGAGTCTTGTAATCAAAATTGTTTTCTACTGGTTTGTCTCTTCCCTAAGAGAAAAAAAAAAAAAATTCTGACTAGTGATAGACAAGTATAAGAGATTATTATACTTGAAAAATATATTCATTATGACACTTTATTTAAAGGTTGAGGCGTAAAATGTATCTGCCAAAATGTTAAATTTGTGTGTTTGGTTCATTCCTTAGGGATGGGCGTCCTTTAACCGATGATGAAGTAGCAGGGATGCTTATTGGACTGCTCTTGGCAGGGCAGCATACATCCTCAACTACTAGTGCTTGGATGGGCTTCTTTTTGGCCAGAGACAAAACACTTCAAGAAAAATGTTATTTAGAACAGAAAACAGTCTGTGGAGAGGATCTGCCTCCTTTAACTTATGACCAGGTTTGTCGGATTTTTCAGTTTCATTGCTGCCTTCTGACTTTGAGTATCTGTGGCTAATTTTTAAAAGGGACTATTTGAGATTTTCTGTATACTGTAGCTTCAACTGATCAGCTTCTTTATTTTTAGCAAATTCTCCATAACCTTACCCAAAATATGTTAATGTTATTGCTTCTAATTAAGTTTTATCAGATATGTTTTGGGTTGATGCCTTAGAGATCCTTGGAGATGTTTCTTTAGTACTTATTTCCTCTGGTTCGAAGTCTGGCTTCTGTAGATAGAGGATATTATGTGCATGTTATTTGTCTTACGAAGTGTAGAAACCTCTCAATTACTTAGAATTCTACATGTCTAGAGTGGCCCGTGCATAAGCAATGACTTCTAAAAGTAGTAGTAGTAATAATGAGGACTAGACATTTACAAACACTACACGCAGCTTGCTGGGTGGAAAGGAAGAGAGAAGAACTCACTGCCCAACCTGACATTCAATTTTGAAAGCAAACCTAGGTTGTATCCTCTTCCTGTTATCTTTTGTGTTTTTTGGTCCTATATTAATATGGTGTATTACACTGATTTTTTTAGATGTAAATTATATTCCTGGGATAAATCTTACTTTGTCATGGTGCATAGTTCTCTTTATATGTTATTGCATTCAGTTTGCTGGTGTTTTGTTGAGGATTTTTGCATCTATATTCGTTAAGAGATCTTGATCTCTTTCATTGTCATGTCTTTGACTGGTTTTGATATCAGGATCATACTGGTCTCATAGAATGAATTTTGAAGTGTTCTTTTTTTCTTCTTTTTTTTTGAAGAGTTTGTGGATGACTGGTGTTAATCCTTTTTTATATATTTGCTAATATTCAACAGTGAAATCATCTACGTCTGTGCTTTTCTTTGTGGGAAGACGTTGCTTACCAATTCAATTTATTTGTTACAAGTTTCTCATTCTATTTCTTTTTATGTCAGTTTCAGTAGTTTATATCTCTCTCTTTGTTGTTTTTTCCAAAAACTCCAGAGAATATACCAAGTAAAAGTAGTTTATATCTCTCTAGGAATTTGTCCATTTCATCTAGATTACCTAATTTGTTGGCAAATTAGGCAATTGTTCTTAGTATTCTCACAATCCTTTTTTATTTCTGTAAGCTCAGTAGTGATGTCTCAACGCTCATTCTTGTTTTTGGTAACTTTAAAAATAACAGCTTAATTGATATATTTACAAACCATAAATCCATCCATTTAAAATGTACATTTTGTGGTTTTTAGCATATTCAGAGTTGGGAAACCATCATCATAATTTAATTTTGCAACTTTTACATCACTCCTAAAAGAGAGCCAGTACCCATTAGCAATCATGCTTCATTCTTCCTGACCCCTGCCCCTGGAAACCATTAATCTCCTTTTTGCCTATATGAGTTTGTCTATTCTGGATATTTTATATAAATGGGATCATATAATATGTAGTCTTTTGTGACTAGTTTGTTTCACTTGGCATGTTATCAGGGTTCATCTGTGTTGTAGCATGTATCAGTACTTCAGTCATTGTTATTACTAATAATCCATTATATGGATATACCACATTTTGTTTATCTGTTCATCAGTTGATGGACATTTGGATTGTTTCCACCTTTTCAACTATTATGAATAATGCTGCTCTAAACATTTGTATACTGATTTTATGTGGACATGTGTTTTCAATTTTGGGGGGGTCATACCTAGGAGGAGAATTGCTGGGTCATATGGTAACTTTGAAGAACTGCCAGACTGTTTTTAAAAGTGGCTGCACCACTTTCAAATCTCACTAAATAGTATATGTTGGTCCTGACTTCGATTTTTTTTTTTTTTTGAGACGGAGTCTCCCTGCCCAGGCTCGAGTGCAATGGCATGATCTCGACTCACTGCAACTTCTACTTCCCGGGTTCAAGCAATTCTTTTGTCTCAGCCTTCCAAGTAGCTGGGACTACAGGCGCATGTCACCACACCTGGCTAATTTTTATATTTTTAGTAGAGATGAGGTTTCACCATGTTGGCCAGGCTTGTCTCGAACTCCTGACCTCGAGTGATCTGCCTGCCTTGGGCTTCCCAAGTGCTGGGATTACAGGTGTGAGCCACTGTGCCCAGTCAGTATCTTGTTTTGATTTTGTATTTTCCTGCTGACTAATGATATAGAGTGTCTTATGATGTGCTCTTTGGCTTTGGTATATCTTCTTTAGAGAAATGTCTGCTCACATCCTGTTGCCTTTTTGACAGAGTCTCGCTCTGTCACCCAGGTTGCAGTGCAATGGTGTAATCTTGGCTCACTGCAACCTCCATCCTCTGGGTTCAAGTCATTCTGCTGGCTTAGCCTGAGTAGCTGGGATTACAGGCGCATGCCACCACGCCCAGCTAATTTTTGTGTTTTTAGTAGAGACGGGGTTTCACCATATTGGTCAGGCTGGTCTTGAACTCCTCACCTCGTGATCTGCCCCCCCTCAGCCTCCCAAAGTACTGGGATTACAGGCTTGAGCCACTGCACCCAGCCTTGTTCCCATTTTTAAAATGAGTTGTCTTTTTATTATTGAGTTGTAAGCGTTCACGTATTTTTTTTTTAATGTGCTTTTGGTCTCAGAGCAACCAGTGCCCTATCAAAGTATATGAAGAGTTATTTCTGTGTTTTCTTTTTAGTGTTTTAGTTTCATATCTTACATTTAGGTCTTTGATCCATTTTGAATTAATTTATGTATATGGTGTGAGGTCATCATTATTTTGCATGTGGTTATTCAGTTGTCCCACACTGTTTGTTGAAAAGACAATTTTTTCTGCATTGAATTGTCTTTGTAAAAAAATCTATTGGCCGGGCGCGGTGGCTCAAGCCTGTAATCCCAGCACTTTGGGAGGCCAAGGCGGGTGGATCACAAGGTCAAGAGATCGAGACCTTCCCAGTCAACATGGTGAAACCCCGTCTCTACTAAAAATACAAAAATTAGCTGGGCATGGCGGCGCACGCCTGTAGTCCCAGCTATTCGGGAGGCTGAGGCAGGAGAATTGC